CAGCCGTGCCCGTGCACTCCTACTGTCAGGGTCTCTAAGCTTGCCAAACAACTGCGTTATCAGCAGTTTCGTTACCATTTCACACGTGGCATCGGAGCATGGCCTCCTCATCGTCCTTCACCGGACGGCTGCAGCTGTCGACCGTCGCGCGGTCCGGCTCCTGCTGCTTCGCCCGCGTCCACCGCAGGCTCGCTCCGGCAACAACCTGTTGCTGCGGCTGGATCGCACGTCCATTCCGCTCGCTGCTCGCATGAACCTGGTGAGCGTCGCACGTCGCACGTCGTACATGCTGATCCCGATTATCTCGCATCACGTGCCATTAGCAGGTACAAAAGATGCTGGTCGCGTTGAACCTGAGAACCTGCTTTTCTTCTGCGCTGTCGCATCGTCTTTCTCTGGTCTGAAACGTTAAGGAGTAAAAAATCCGGCATTGCTCATATTGCTTGGTTACGATTCCACGCATTTGCCTGCAGTTTCTAGGTTGCTAGATTTGAAGTATGTGAGTTGTCATCAATGCCTTTCGCCGGTCTTTGAGGCGGCTTATAAACTCTTCTATGTGCCTCTTTTTACCTAATTCAGCACGTTCGTCTACTTGCGTTCAGCGATTGCTGTCTTCTGCTGCTGTTCGTCGTCTGGAATCTACGCGATTAGCCAATCAGCTGATTTGTCCAGGGATGTTGCACCGAGCAGCCGATTTGTCCAGGAAGGCTGCTCAGCCGATCCCACTGTACAGTGCTCACCATACTCCCTCTCTTTCCCCGCATCTCCCGCCACAGATAATGCGAACGCCAGCACGGAACAGCCCAGCAACCTTCCGAGCACCACACAGCCCAACCCCACCACCACCACCACCAGCACCAGCAGCGCCAGCAGCCGTCGTCAGCTGTTGTGTGGAGCGTGCGGAACGGCGGTGGCAGCGGCGGTGGCGGCGGTGTCAGGCGAACGCGAGGGCCGAGGTTCTCCCCGCCGCCCCCTCCAACTCCTCCGTCTGCCGCAACTGCCAGGGGGCAGGCGCTGTCGTCTGTAAGTGAAGATTGGCAGCACCATTGGCGGCAGTGTGGGTTGTGGCTTGTGGCTTGATCAGAGATCCTCCCCGCGCCTCCCTCCAACTCCTCCGTCTGTCGCAACTGCCAGGGCGCGGGCGCTGTTGTCTGTAAGTGCTCTCCTGTCGATGCTTCTCAGGTAGCCATGTTTATTTGGGTAATAGGCAGCAGCAACGCAATGACCGCAGCAGTGGCATTGACAGCACCAGTGGAGGCAGTATGGGATGTTTTTTGGGCGTAGATGCTAGCAGCAGCAATGGCAGCAACAGTGCCAGTTGTGGCTGCACGGTAGCAACAGCATTCCCTCTTCAGCATGTTTCACCTCATACCATCACCCTACTCACATCTTCCCCGCTCCTTCTCTCTACCTCTTTCCTCCATCTCATGCATTTCACCCTCATTTGGCAGTTCCCTACCACTCTCCTTCTTCCTCCTTCCATCCTCAGCACCCACCTGCTATCTTCCCCCGTCCCTTCTCCTTCCCCATCGCTTCCTCGTCCCCCTTACCCCCATCCCCAGTTTTCCCTTCCTCGTGCCGCCCTTCTCTCAACCACCATGCCCTTTTTCTACCCTAAAATTTCCGACACGCCTTTAGAGGCGACTTCTGAGACATCTTATGACGTCATATGCATGCCATGCCAACCTTCTCTCAACCTCCATAGCCACTTTCCACCAGAATCGGTGACTTTACTGTGTAACCCCTACGTGTGAGGTGCGTCTGAAATTATGAAAGTGTTACTTGTTTTGTAACATGGTAACACCTATCTTCAAAGTGTTGCGGGTGAGAGTGTACGCAAGAAACTTGCCAGAAAAAAATTGTTCTTCGAGATTTGGTGTACTTGCCGCTTCACTCCATGGCACCTCACTTCTCTGGGTTGAATGCATCATGTGTAGTGGCACCGGCGAGAGTGTGGGTTGTGACTCAAAGTTGACATTTCTTGAACCCTTGCTCTCGTTTCTCTGTCCTGCAGGCGACATGTGTGGTGGTACGGGCAAGTGGAAGGCGCTGAACCGCAAGAGGGCCAAGGACACGTATGAGTTCACCGAATGCCCCAACTGCTATGGTGAGCTGCTGCATAGTTTTTGTTTTTTTGCAGCTGTGAATGATGAGTCGAGTCAATTATATTTGCACAGTATCCTGCACAGAATGCTTGTGGAGAAGTGAGGCAATTTCTGGTAGATTCATGTGAGATGAGAACAGTGAAGCTCAGAGAGAACAGAAGGTTTCATGAAGCGTACCCTGAAGAAGTTTCACGCTGACCTGTTCCCTCAGATTCACATCACTGTGCTTTGATTGCTCAGGTCGAGGCAAGCTGGTGTGCCCGGTGTGTCTGGGCACGGGGGATGGGGAATGCCAAGGGGTTGCTGCGGCGGCCTGAGGCAAAGCAACTGCTGGACCAGATGTACCACGGTCGCCTGCTGCCCCTTCCTAGGCAAATGTCCCGCCCGCTTCTCCCATCCTAGGCAGGACCAAACATTTGGTTTATTGTTAGCATTGAATTGGAAAGCTTGCTTTCTGTTCTTGCAAAGGCATCGTGCTTCATTACAATTGCAGTAATTACAACATTCTCGTCCATCTATAGATTATACGGTACAAGCTTCGTATACGACTAGGGTGGGTGGGTGGGGAGTGGAACTGCAAGTTCCAAATGAAGACGTGGGTGGAGGCAAAATGGCCTCCACCCTCGTCATGTACTCGGCGAATTGTAATTTGCCGTTGCCTTGCTATGATACAGTCAGCTGCGCTTTCACAATACACATTTTTAGAAAGTGTTACACACTTGAAAAATCATATTTATGTTCTGGTGATTAGAGTGAAACGTGTCACAACAATTCAGCTATATAAAATAGTATAAACTTAGCACAATTAATCCTAGCGTGTTTGTTATGTGCTATTCGCGTTCTGCCAACTTAATTGTGTGAATAAGTTTGCTGTCATCAGCACTAGAGAGCAGTTTGAAAGGTTGAACACACAAGGTAGTTTTCTGAAGTGTACCTAGCCCCACTAACGAGTTTGCGGTTGTTTGAACATCCTCGATTTAATTATACCTAGCTTTTGGTATCTTGCCGCACCTCAATGGGTGGGATGCCATACCTGCCACCAAGCCAAATTGGTCGCGCCTCGCGCTGGCCGAAGGATGACGTGGACTGACGCACTGAAACGACACCTTCTGTGGGCCTTCCAGAAGCAGCTCCCGTTTTGGGGGGATGCATAAGTGCGAGAATCGGACGCGGGGCATCGACTGACGTGGACGAAGTTTGTGATCCAAGGCCGATCAGGCTCGGACACAAATGGCACGAGTGCCACGCGGCGAAGGGATGTGGTGCGGATGGACCTCCACTCCCATCCGACTTCCGTACAGTTTGTGTGGTGTCATAGTTCTCGGAGGGCGAATCTTACCTCAGAGACATTCTTAGGTCAACTGTCTGCTTGTAACCCACAAAGTCAGGGAATTTATACCGCAAAACAAACTAAGCACCAGAAATAGTGGCAGCTGACAGGAAGGCGGAACACAGCTCGAGGGTCAGCCCCATTCAACCTGTTGCTGCTTCAACCTCGAGATTTCCATTCCTATTTTTCCTCAGCTTCTCCTCCATTTCTAATTTCTGTGGGGACTTGCTTCTAAGGACATTTGCAGGCTCTCTGTTATCTCTCAGGAGCCGCGGTCGCTTGCGTTTCTGCAGCTGAAGCAAGCTGGATCAGCTGTTTCAAACCAGGCACATCGGTTTCTTCTGCCGTTTTCACCGAAATATTTTCCCCCTCGCTTCCCGCGGACTCCGCTTCCGAACGACAATGCCGTCACACCACGCCCTTGCCCGAGGGCCTGTCGTCGCGAATGCGTCTGCTTTGCAGCAGGCGCTTCGTCGTGCCGAGGCTTCCCAACTTAGGCCGAACACGCAATCATTAGCCGTTCATGGCTTGAACCAATCAGGGAAGCTGAGATACACCAGATTAAGGAGTGTTCAGAGCTTCGCTGGGACCCGATTGGTCAATTTCAACTCTGCCGTCGCGAAACCGACGCAAATTCGGAGAGTGACGTCAGCGGTGGCGACGACTGATGCCTCGACGACGACCGCAGGCGATAGCACAGGTGCGTCGCAAGACATAGTAGTACTTGTGTAACAATAACGCATGAATGATTAATCAGTGATCGTCATACATTCAATCCTTTTCAGCACAGGTGTGTCATTTATAGTTGTAAACGTCGTTCCCACTCCTTACGTCCATTCATGCAATGTTTCCGTCTCCTTAAAGAATACAAAACGTGCTAAGCCTTTCAAAAACGCTCGCAGCCCTTTTCTGCTAACCTTTTCGGGACTCGTCTAATCTCCTGGCTATTACACTTTCGTTTCTGGTTTCTTGCCTCGCGGAAACCTTCGTGTTTGTTGTCTGTGAAAACGACATTCGAGAATTGGGTCATTATCGACTCATGCCGATCCCAATCCCTGGCTTTTGTTTTCCTTCCAACTTCCTTGGCTTGGGCTACACGGCCTTCAAATTTTCTTCAACGTTTCCTGCTTGCTTTCTTCTCTTCCCTTTCACAATCCTCTACCACGACCGTTGAGAATCTGGTGATTATCGGCCCAGACCCGGCCGGGTTCACGGCCTTTCATTATTCTTGAACCTCCTGTTCTTGCTCTCCTCTCTTCCCCTCCCTTTCACAATCTTCTATCCTTCTTCAGTGGAGACGGCCGTTGAGAATCTGGTGATCTATCGGCTCAGGCGCGGCTGGGTACACAGCCTTCCAATTTCTTAACCTCTTTGGCTTGCCCTTTTCTCTACCCTTCCCTCTCACAATCCACTCACCACCCTCAGTGGAGACTACCGTTGAAAATCTGGTGATTATCGGGTCAGGCCCGGCCGGGTACACCGCCGCGATCTACGCTGCGCGGGCGAATCTGAAGCCAGTGCTGTTCGAGGGCGTGCAGGCCGGCGGAGTTCCCGGAGGGCAGCTCATGACCACCACGGAGGTCGAGAACTTCCCGGGATTCCCGGAGGGAATTACGGGCCCCGATCTTATGATCAGGTGCGTGGTTCTCGAGGAAGTTCGAAAGAGGCGACTGCTGAATCGACTTGGAAGTTGCCGCGAAAGCGAACACAGCAAGCGAGAAATGCTGAAACGCACAAAATACACACTTTCCTGGTCCATTCAGAATTCGTAGAAGTGCGGAGACGCGGAAAATAGGAATTTCCATTCGCGTCTCTTCACGGTCCGTATTCCATACCTTCATCCCCCCCACCGCATCCCCCGGCTTCCCCCTTTCTCCGTCACCGCGCTATTCCCCCAGATGAAGCAGGAGGCGGAGCGGTGGGGAGCGGAGCTGCACACAGCAAGCCTGCTTCATTCCCCATATATTGAACACCAACACCCCCCACTTTCGCCCCTCCTCTCTTCCTCCCCCTTCCCAAATGCCCCATGCGCGCAGAATGAAGCAGCAGGCGGAGCGGTGGGGAGCGGAGTTACACACCGAAGACGTGGAATACGTCGATCTGCAGACCCGCCCCTTCACAGTGCGCAGCAGCGACCGCGAGGTGCGCGCCCACAGCGTCATCATCGCCACGGGCGCCACTGCGCGCCGATTGGGCCTGCCCAGCGAGAGAGAGTACTGGTCGCGAGGCATCTCCGCGTGCGCGATCTGCGACGGCGCGAGCCCAATTTTCAAGGGGCAGGAGCTGGCGGTGGTGGGAGGAGGAGATACGGCAGTGGAAGAGGCGCTGTACTTAACTAAGTACGCTAAGCACGTGCATCTGCTGGTGCGGAGGGACATTCTTAGGGCCAGCAAGGCGATGCAGGATCGGGTGTTTAAAAACCCGAACGTGACTGTTCACCTGAACACGATCCCTGTAGATGTGGTGGGGAACGACAAGGGGCAGATGGCGGGTTTGAACGTGAAAGACGCGCAGACGGGGCAGGAGAGGATTATTCCGGTGAAGGGGCTGTTCTATGGGATCGGGCACAAGCCGAATAGCGATCTGCTGGCGGGGCAGGTGGAGCTGGATGGGAGCGGGTACGTGGTCGTGAAGGACAACGCGGTTGAGACTTCTGTTCCCGGCGTGTTCGCTGCTGGCGACCTCAAGGTGAGCCTCCTCGTGGTCGCATTGCAAGCCCCTTTGCCTCGTGGGTACTGCAGGTGGGGATAGGGTGCGTGGCCCCAGCTCGGGGCAGGTGGAGCTGGATGGGAGCGGGTATGTGGTGGTGAAGGATAAGGTTGAGACGTCTGTTCCCGGCGTGTTCGCTGCTGGCGACCTCAAGGTGAGCCTCCCCTTGGTCTTCTTGCCCCTCCTCAGTCTTGGTCCCTACCACAGCCACTAGGGTACTCCAGGTGGGGCTAGGGTGCTTGGCCTGGGCTCGGGGCAGGTGGGAGCTGGATGGGACTGGGTATGATGTGGTGGTGGCATGACACCTGTTTTTTTTTTCTTCTTCTTCTTTTGGACATGTTTGATTCAGGATGTTAGTCCTCTCTTTTCGCTCATCCTCTGCTCTTTTTTGTTCCCCCCTCCCCCCCTCTTTCGCCTCCCCATCAACCTCTCTCACCTATCAACAGGACCACGAGTGGAGGCAGGCCATCACAGCAGCAGCATCGGGGTGCATGGCAGCGCTGTCAGTGGAGCGATACCTCACATCCAACGACCTGCTCATCGAGTTCCACCAGGTACGGCTCATTAAGTGCCGGATGTGCTGAACACAGCATTACGAGCGACTGTAGCATTGAAGGCAGTAGCAGCAGCAGGCAGGGTCGGGGTGCCCTGAGTGGTAGATGTGCTCAACACACCACTACGAGTGACTGTAGCAAGGACAGCAGCACGAGCTGCAGCGCCGCGGTGCATGGCAGCGCTGTCAGTGGAGCGGATCGCACGGCCTCGTGCTAATTGCGTTCCACCATGTACGGCCTTGCGTAGATGTGCTGAAAATGGCACTAGGACTGTAGGATCAGAACCAGCAGCAGCGCCAGTAGCAGCGTCATCAGCAACCTCCCTATCATTCAGCCCTCTCCTCATGACATCCCCCTTAACGTTGCAGGGGGTTTTCGAGAATTCTCAAAAACTCCTCTCCTCATTATATCCCCCTTATCATGCCTGCCTCCCTGTGTCTGCGTACCCTTGTTGCGAGCAGCAGGAGGTGGAGGTGGTGGAGAAGAAGGAGCTGACGGAGGAGGACGTGGAGGAGAAGTTCGACCCATCTGTATCCCTCTAACACCCACCATTACCCCCCTGTTCCCCTTTGGGTCTGTCTATGTGCGGTCTTGTGCGAGCAGAAGGAGGTGGAGGTGGTGGAGAAGAAGGAGCTCACAGAGGAGGACGTGGAGGAGCGGTTCGACCCGCTGCTGACGCGTCACAAGGGCCAGTATGCGCTCCGCAAGCTCTACCACGAGTCGTCACGCCTCATTGGAGTCATCTACACGTCCCCGACTTGCGGGCCCTGCAGGACGCTCAAGCCCATGCTCGCTAAGGTATGCGCGGGTAGAGTAGAGTAGATTTCGGCCAGTTTTCCTCATTGCTCACAAGACAAAATGGTCAGTAAGGTATGCGCTTGCTTTTGTGGTGGAATTTTTCGACTGTCGGATTCGCTGGGTGGAAATTGACATCGAGGAGGACCCTGAGATTGTTGCTAACTTGCATTGCCCCATTGCTTGACTCCTGTTGACTTGCGTTGACTCACAGGTGGTGGAGGAATTCGACCGTCAGATCCACTGGGTGGAGATTGACATCGAGGAGGACCCTGAGATTGCCGAGGCCGCAGGGATCATGGGCACTCCTGTCGTTCACTTCTTCAAGAACAAGGAGAAGATCGAGTGAGTGCTTTTCTGCCTGTACATAGCCTTGTCTGCTGAGTGAGTAGTCTGGTCTGCTGTGGCTTAATGCTCTGAGACAACTCACAGTTGCAGCAGGGATCATGGTCACACCTGTGGTGCACACTTCTTCAAGAACAAGGAGAAGATTGAGTGAGTGGATGGTTGATGGTTCAATCCGCTGACTGGCTTGACTGGCTTGAGACCCCCTAAGTTACTGAACTGCGGCGGGATCATGGGCATGCTGCCTGCCGTGCATTTCTTCAAGAACAAGGTAGGTCGTTCCCGTCCATCCCTCCCCTTGCTTGCCTGCCCATCCCATCCCTCCCCCTTCTCCAGTGAATCAAGGG